CGCACGCACAAACACGCACGCACGCACGCACAAACACGCACGCACGCACGCACGCACGCACACACAAACACACACACACACACACCATACATACATCGACGCACACGCGCGCACGCACTGCACTCACCAAGTCTCCTGTGTACGCTCGCGGTTGCACTGGCGAGAGAAATCTGTCAGGGTGAGACGGTCGCGCCACGTCTTGCATTGCGTCCGTAGCTTCTAGAAGGCAATCACGCTTGCTACTGGACGATGCAGATGCGTCACTGATTGCTCCTAGGTGGCGCTGCTGAACAAATAATCAGAGCATAAGTCAGATCGTCTGCAAACGAAACATGTGAACATGCATAACGTGCACGTTGGATCGTCTGCTAAAGAAACATGTGAACATGCATAAGATATACGTCAGATCTTCTGCTAAAGAAACGTGTGAAAATGTACGGGGTGCACCTTAGATAACATCCCTAAGAAAAACATGCGAACATCCACGTATGGGGACCAGTGAAAAAATTAATTTTTTTCTTTCCGGGGCTCTTTTTGCAAACCCCCCCAAAATTTGGGACGTTGGCGCAGCATGTTCCACAGCGTGTGCGGCGGGCTTAATGAATTTCTGCTATTGATATATTAACTAGAGCTAACAATAAGGTGTTATTAGCTCTTGATATTAATATAAGGCTTTCAAAATGGAATTTCCCCAGACACAAATATCTACGTGCAAACCTAAGTGTGAAATCTTTCCGATGACACGCCCACGCTCACCTATCATGTTGCCAGCTACAAGTGCTGCCCTCTGGCGAACTCCACGAATGCACGGGGTATTCTTGTCGGATATACTTATCTGCAGAAGAAAGACGGGCATCAGAAAAAAGTATTAATAACAAAAAAAAACACGACGGATTCTATCGAAACTGAGCGCAAATTCTCATCGAAATTTAGCTGAGAAGGAGCGACGCGATGCCAAAAACGCAAACGTCAGTCTGAATTCACGCACAGCTGCCCCCTGCACACGACACAAGATGGCGGCAGGGTGTGCCGTGAGGGAGCAGCAGCCCTTACAGGGGAGGAGGGAGGGAGGGGGGCACCAACAGCCGCACTTCTAACGCGCGCACTAGCGCGAGAGCACGCGCGCTAGCCGCGACACTCGTACATCCGCGCGCGCGATCAACACAAACACGCGGAGAAGCCAGCCGAAGGATGCTTCGCGGAGGATGCTTCGTGAAGGATGAGGAGGCTGCGAGGAGCCAGCCTTCCCGTGGGGAGGGGAAGGGGAGGCTCGTCTACAGAAGAGGAGACGCCGCTCGTGCTGTCATCCTCCCCAGAGTGTGTCGCTCATCACGCGACGCTCGCTGTCCATTTATCGCTCGTCTGATTCCTTCATTATCAGCCGTTGATGTCTCTGCTGTCAATGCTGTCTCCCCTCGTCATCGTCTCAGCTTCTCTCGTGGCCCCGCATCATTCTCTCTCTCTCTCTCTCTCTCTCTCTCTCTCTCTCTCTCTCTCTCTCTCTCTCTCTCTCTCCCCTCTATCTTTCCTTCTCTCTCTTGCTCACTCTCTTTCTCCCTCTCTCTCTT